AGCACCGAGGGTTGCAATCTCGTTGCCGGTCCCGGTCCGGTACGGGCGCGACACTGAGGGTTGCGGTCCGTTGCCGGACACGAAAAAAGACAAAAAGGAAAAAAAAAAAAAAAAAAGAAAAAAAAAAAAAAAAAGAAAAGAAAAAAATAAATAAAGGTGTGAGAGGGGAAAAAATCAATTGGAGCTAAGTAGCAAATAAATATACACATCAATAAATAATTATTTTCTGAGGTACTTTTGAAGTATGAACATTTTCTTTAAATTTACTTTTAAAATGTGTCTCAACTTCTGGTCAAAATGGCAGAATAGACTGTCCCCAGCATCACTCTCGCCCACAAATCAACCAATTTACAACTATAAAAAAGCAACGACAGCCAAGCTGGGGCCACTAGAGCTCAGGGGAAGAGGAGGAGAGACCTACGGAGTTCATGAAGGTGGGAGAAATCACAGTGAGAGAAAGAAAAACCACTCTGACCATTTCGAATCCCGACTGCTTCCAGGCTGGAGCTGCTGAGCACATGGAGCAGGAGCTGACTAAAAGCTGCAGCTGTGCCTTTTGGATGAAGTTGCTTGGAGGTGGCAGGGCAGAAGAGGGCCTTGGTGGCCCCCAGGTCAGCAAGACCACTAATAGGTGTCCCTTGGACCCACATAGGACCCGGGAGCCACAACAACTGAAAAAAAGGAGCCACTCAGAGGCCGGTGAGTCATCGCAAGGGACTGGAGCATGGCCCGTCCCATGGGAAGTGTTTGGAGCATGGGCAGTGGGGGGACAGGCCCATCAGGGGAACACTGGGGCACAGCAAGGACAGCTGATCTGCCCCCCCCCCCCCAGTCAGTGTAGGATCACTCAGAGGAGACTGGTCAGGAATATAGAACTGCAGGGGGTGCAGTTTGGTGAAAAGACTCAGGCCCAGACCAGTGTTTCTGTACAACCCAGGTGCACCGGATTTCACTAGACCCTGAAGTACCTATAAAGTCCACCATTAAAACCTGAGCTGCCCAAAAAGCTTTCCCCAGGGAATCAGCAGCAAAGCTCAGAGCTCAAGTACTGGTCCCCACAGGTAGTTGCCCCATTTTAGAAGTAAGCAAAGGACAACAAATTAGTTCCAGTGCAGAGTTTAAGTGGTGGGAATAGCAAATAATCCAACACAAAACTGAAAGAAAAAACAAAGTGCCCACAACCAGAGACAAAGTTTGATATTAACTAGTAAAGGTCTAATGTCACCAAAGAACACGTGTAACACCAGAAGGACCAGAAGTCCCCTGGGCTACCAAGCCAGGAAGGGGGGGAGGGCCGGGGGCCAACACCCAGCAACCAGTCCCGAGGGTGGGGGGTGAGGGATTCGGCCACACACCCCCGACAAGTGCAACCACCCCAGCAACGACCACCGAGCTGCAGGAAGCACCCCAGGCTCTCCTGAGACGGGGCCGTGGGGGACCTCGGGCTTCAGTCATGCCCCCCAGCAAGAGCAACCAGCCCAGTGACGACCACCAAGCTGCCAAAGGAAGTGCCCCGGGCTCTCCTGAGCTAGGACGGTGGGGGACCAAGGGTCTCAGCCACACCCCCCTGACACGTGCATCCAGACCATCGATAACCACCAAGCCACCACAGGAAGCACCCCAGGCTCTCCCTAGCCAGGGCAGTTGGGGGCTGAGGGCCTTGGCCATGCCACCCTGACATGTGCAACCAGCCCAGCGAAGACCACCAAGCTGCAGCAAGAAGGGCCCTGGGTTCCCAAGCTGGCGTGCTGGGAGGTGAGGGCTTTTGCCAAACACCCCTGACATCTGCACCCAGCTTGGGAACGACCAAGCCACTGGTGGAAGCCCCCGCGTCTCTCCTGTTGGAATGTGGGGGTGCCACAGGCCTCAATCCCACCCTTCCTCCTTCCTCCTCCTTCCATCACATTTCCTTCCCCTTTCCCCTCTCCCTCTGCCTCCCAACTGCTCTACAACATCATAGAATGTAAAAAAAATAATAGTAATTAAATTAAATTTTAAAAATGTATCTCATTTCACTCAGTTTAATTCTTTTTAATACATTTAGAATAACTTAGAACTTTCTTCTAATAGGAAAGAAGCTAAAATTAATCCTAGACTGATATTCTTCTAACTAGAGTTATAGTTTAAGTCAATTAGCCTTGTTAGTTATTGAAATTGAAACTAGTTCAGTTAGTTTTTTAAAATATCACATTTACTTAGGGTTCATATTTCCCTTTTCGTTTCTAAAAGGACTGAATATAACTTGCTTTTTTTTAAAAAAAAAGCGAAAAAAAAAAAATAGAAATGAAAAACAGCACTGACCATCTAAGTCAGCATTTGTTAAAATGCATTTTGGGCACTTTGGGCCCTTGTCAAAAGGGCTTGGGCTTCACCCTGGTCCCACTGAATCAGAATCTGGGGCCTAAGAATCTGCTTTTAAACATACTTTTCTAGGAATTCTTGTGTACACTAAAGTCTGAGAACCAGCGATCAGACTGGAGGAGGGAAAGTTGATATCACCTGGAGCCTGCGATAAATATCTTGATCCAAACAGTACTGCCATGGGTTTGGGCTGACATTTTCTAGAAGCTTGGAGAGGGGGGGAACGCCAAAATAAATCACTTTGGCTTATGTGGTTTTTATCTTCTGACCAGAAAATTATATAAGTTTTTCAGCAGAGTTCATGTTTCTCAGGAACTAAACTCATGTTCTTTGTAGGAAACCTGGGGGATATTGTGGGCAATATCCTAAACTCTGATTTTCTAAGATTAACATTATGATCCTATAAATGTGCCATCCATTGATTATCTCAAAAGGCTGAGGGCATATATTAAAAACAAAAACGCTTTATTTACAAAAAAGGCAGCACATCCATTTTGAGCTAGTTTGCTGACCCCTGATATGTTATGACTTGGCAGTCTACTTGTAGGTATACAAGCCCTAGAGAAAATTGCACATTTGTCCTAGGAGCCACATACAGGAATGTTTAAGTATGCACTGGCCCAGCCCCTCATATTCCCTCCCCAAGAAAAAAACTAGAAGAAATCTAAATGTTAATCTTCAGTAGAATGAATAAATTATAGTGTGATCACACAATGGTTTATGCAGTAGTGAAAATGAATGAATTTATAGCTCCAGGCAACAACATGGATGAATCCAAAAGAGAACGTTGATTGAAAAACAAGTTTAGAAGATTGCATCAGAGTGTTACCAATTTTATAAAGCTTAAAATTAAGCTAAACTAAGTATTCTTGCTGAAAAAGTTTAACCTATATATAAATTAAGCCTTAAGATCTGCCTTCCATTTTACAGGAGATATAGGGATTAGAAGTACACGTTAAGTGATGCCTAAAGAAAGCAATCAGGCAAATCCAGCAGATGGATACTTTGTAGGACAACTGACCTACTCTCTTTAACAAGAAAGTGTTTAAAAAAAAAAGTGGGGTTTGGGGAGGGAGTATTCTGGATCAAAGGAAATTTAAGAAATGACTAAATGCACTGTGTGAACCCTGATTAGAGGAGTAGTAAAAGACATTCTGATCCAATTGAAGAAATATAAATATGAACTAGGTATAAGATGATATTAAAGAATGTGATTGTTAGGTGTGATAATATTATGGTTAAATTGGAAAATTTGTTTTTTACAGCTGCGTGTAAAAGCATTTTGAGATGAAATGTCATGTCTGTACTTTAAAAAATACCTAAGCCAAAAAGAGGGAGGGATAAATATAGGGAACCCTTGACAATTGTTAAATCTAGTGTAGAGTTTGTGGGTGAAAATTTCCATAATGAAAGGTAAAAAAAATAAGCAAAATGAAATTGTATTTTTTAGTGGCACATCTGCAAAACAAAAGAAGATGGAAATGATAAGCACTAAATTCAGGGTATTGGTTACCTTTATGGAGGCAGGTCGATAAGAACGGGAAGAGTAGTATGCAGGTGGCACAAGGTAAAGAAATGTTCTAGGTTTTAAGTAGAATGATGGAATCGAGGTTGGTTTTTTTAACAGCTTTATTGAGTTATAATTTACATACCATAAAAGCGTATAATTCAGTCATTTATAGTATAGAGTTGTGCAACCATAACCATAGTCTAGTTTTAGAACATTTCCATAGTCCCTAAAAATTTCCTCATACTTGTTTGTAGTCAATCCCTACTGCCACCGTCAGCCCCTGGCAACCATGGATCTGCTTTCTGTCTCTGTAGATTTGCCTTTTTGGTAACCTATTATGAATGGACTCATACAATATGTATTATTCATATTTGGCTTCTTTCCTCTATCAGATAAATGAATTGCAATTTTTTTCTCCTAGGCTGTGCCTTGCCTTTTTATTTTCTTAATGGTGTCTTTTGAGGCATAAAAATTTTGAATTTTGATCAAGTCCAGTTGATCAGTTTTTTCTTTTATAGATTGTACTTTTGGTGTTCATTTAATAACTCATTCTCTAACCCAAGGTTATGATTACTTATTCTAGAAGCTTTCTAGTTTTAATTCATCCCTTAAAGTCTGTGATCCATATTTAAGTTAATTTTTGTGCATGGTGTGAAAAAATAGTTCAAATTCTCCTTATGGCATATGTGCATCTAATTCTCCCAGCACCATTTGTTGAAAACACTTGTTTCCTTAACGTTATGCCTTGACGCCTTTTCAAAAAGTAAATTGACATGAATGTGAAGGTTTTTGTCTAGATTTTTATCCATTGATCCATATGTTCCTCTGATCTTACGCAAGCACCATTCTGTCTTACTCACTGTATGCTTGGCACTTAAGAGGTGCTCAAAATCTGAATTAAATTGAAATTGAATTGCCTAGACTTATTTAAGATTCTGTGTTCTTACATTTGCCACATTTTAATCTTTTTCCTGGGGTGTGTATAGGGGGGAGTGTGGTTGTTTTATTTTTTTGCTTGCTTTCTCCTATAGTTTCTTATAAAGGTAACTTTTGAAAAATCCCTTCTTTAAACTGAGAAGAAATTTTGTTTTTTACTCAGAAATACTCAAGAATACCCTTTGGGTCAGGCATGCTGGTAATGGGAACAGCTATCAAAAACAGGGACACTTTGTGGAACTGTAATCTTTAGTGACATGAAATCCAGAGGCTGATTAATTGCCAACATTAAGCTATTTATTCCGTAGAAGCTCATCAGAGATTTAGGCATTTTTGTATTAATTGCTTTAAAATGAAATCTTACCAGAGCATATCGGAAGTATTTTATGAAGCCACAGACTTAAGAGTTATATCTGTACCACTTGGCAAGATTCACGAGCATTCCTGAGGCCATAAATCCTTGGTGAAGAAATAATACTTGCCGTATTAATGTCTCTTGGTGTTTATGAGATTCAAATAAAGTGATGTTTGTCTAAGTGCTTTACAAAATATAAAATGTTGCACAAAACATTTTTAATGTCATTTGTATATTAAGCGCTGATATACAAGTAAAGTTTTCTTTTGAACACTTTCTAAGATAATGTGAATGGAAAAGAATGAATAGTCATCGAACTGTTGGTCATTGCTCATGAATGCAATTGAAATGGGTAAAATTGTGAGCATTATAGCTCAAGAAATGTGGGACGTAGGTGAAACCAATGGTAGTGAGAGGAACGTTTCCTTCAATCTGTCTTTATAACAGGAAGTTGAAGCGAAAATTTGGCTTTTCTTAGAGAACATATAAAATTCTAGTTTTACATATGGATAGATAGTGATAGAGTTTTATCTTGGAAATCTTTGTTGGTGTGTAGAATTTATGTAAAAATTATTTTTAGGTGTTATGTAAAAGATTAAGCAAGATATAATAAGCAAGACAGTGTAGTACTGGCATAAGAACAGACATACAGTGATAGAATAGAATTAAGAATCCAGAAATAAACCCTGATATTTTATGTTCAGTTGATTTTGGACAAAGGTGCCAAGACAATTCAGTGGGGAAGGGATAGTCATCTCAGCAAATGATGCTGTGTATCCACATGCAAGAGAATGAATTTGGATGCCTTTTTCACACCATACACAAAAATTAACTCAAAATGGATTACAGAACTAAATAGAGCTAAAACAGTGAAACTCTTAGAAGAAAATATAGGGGTAAATTTTTGTGACTTTGAGTTAGGCAGTGATTTCTTGGATAAATTGGACTTCATCAAAATTAAAAACTTTTGTGATGCAAAAGCCACCATCAAGAATGTACAGATAACCCATAGAATGGAAGAAAATATTTGCAAATCATATTTGACAAGACACATGTATTTAGAAAATATAAAGAACTCTGAAAACTCAAAATTAAAAAGACAAGTAACCCACTTAAAAAATAGGCAAAGGAGGGGCTGGCGGGTTAGCTCATCTGGTTAGAACACAGCTTTATAACACCAAGGCCATAGGTTCAGATCTCATTACTGGCCAGCTGCCTTCCCCCCACCAAAAAAAGACACTAAAAATAGGCAGGTTAGTTCCCCCAAAAGAAAAAATAGGCAAAGGATCTGAGTACACATTGCTCCAAAAAGATATACAAATGTCCAATAAACACATGAAATGATGCTCAGCACCATTAGCCATCAGGGAAATGCAACTCAAAACCATAAGGAGATACTACATCACACCCACTGAGTTGGCTACAATCAAAAAAAGAGATAATAACATGTGTTGGTGAGAAGGTGGAGAAATTGGAACCCTCTTGCACTGCTCTGGGATTGTAGAAAAGTGTGCTGCTTTGGAAAACTATTTGGTAATATCTCAAAAGGTTAAACATAGAGTTACCATATGACCTAGCAATTTTACTCTTAAGTGTATACCCAATAGTATCGAAAACATGTCCACACAAAATCTTGTGCATGAATGTTCATGGCAGCATTATTCATAATAGCCAAAAAGTAGAAAGAACCCAAATGTCCATCAACTGATGAATGAAGAAATAAAATGTAGAATGGGATATTATTTGGCAATAAAATGAATGAAGTACTGATGCTATACCATGGATGAACTTTGAAAATACTTTGCAAGGTCAAAGAAGCTAGTTACAAAAGATCATATATTGGGTGATTCCATTTATATAAATATCCATGAAAACGAATCTATAGAAACAGAAAATAGAATAGTGTTGCCTGGGATTGGGGGAGATATTAGGAGGAAATGGGGAGTGACTGCTAATGGGTGCAGGGTTTCTTCTGGGGTTGATGGAAATGTTATAAATTTGTGGTGATGGTTGCACAGCTCTGTGAATATATTTAAAAACCACTGACTCGCACACATTAAATGGGTGAATTGTATGGTATATGAATAATAAAATTTAAAAATCAAGCAATACCCAATTCCAAAATACATGGAGAAGTAAGAAAAGAACATTTGCAAATGTTTCTACCACTGATATTCTGGAGAAGGATAGGGGGGTTGACTGTCTCTTAGCTATCATTTTTCTTTCATTCTTTATCCTTCTAGTGACTGACTAGGTTAATTAAATGCATACACTTTTGTGTTGAATGACAGTAAATCATCATTCATTTTTGACAGGAGTTGAGTTCTTCTCAGACTTTATCACATGATGGAGAATTCTTCAATAGACTGGAAGATGATGTTCATAAAATTCTTATTAGAGAAAAAAGAAGAGAACAGCTTACAGAATATAATGGAACAGATAATTGTACAGCTCATGAACACAACCAGGCATGTAGAAATTCTCTTAAAATCACAATGAAATTGAAATGCAATCTTTCTTTTTTTAAAAAAAGTAAGCAGAATCCAATTATATAAAGTAACAGTTTTAAGATATTAGTTGTTACCACACAGATATTTATAGTAAAAAGTATGAAGTGTGTAGTTAATTCATTGATGAATATTTTTTGAGCATGTATTATAAGCAGTATACAGTAGGCACTCGTGGGGGGGAGTGGGAACACCAAGATGGATTAGGCCTTCCTTTCCTTAGACACTCAGAGTAGTGGGGACGTGAGGAGGTAGACCTGTAAAGGGATTATCATTCAGCATGATAAAGACTTTATATGAACCATAAAAAAAGAAGTTTTGAATAGAAAAGGGTTTTTTTGTTGTTTTATTGGGTTTTTTTTTCTTATACAGAGTGTCACAGCTTACAGAAAAGGTTTTGAATAAGATCACTGTTTGGGTAAAGTGTGATGGGTATACAAAAAAGTGACATTTGGAATGGATTTTGAATGATTAATAACTGCATAAACTGAGAAATGGACAAAGAATTTGTAGCCCAAGGGAACTGCAAGAACAGAGGCCCTGAGTTATGAAAGGCCTTCAACGGAGTGTTGAAGAAACTGAAAAATTCTGCAACTGAGAAGTATAGGGTTAAGTGAATGTGGGATGACATGACTAGAGAAATTGGATTTAGGTTATAAAAGTCTTTTCTGTGAAACTAAGAAGTTAGAGTTTTATCATATGCAGCAAGGCAAACTATGGCCCACACGTACAGTCCAGTCAGTGGTCTATTTTTGTAAGGTTCACGAGCTAAGAATGGTATTTTACCAAAAAATAGAGAATAGAATACATTGCAGAGACTGTGTATAACCCACTAAGCCAAAAATATTTACTGTTGAGCCCTTTACAGAAAATGTTTGCCAGCCTCTACTACAGACCAGTCTTACCCAAAATATATCATGTAAGGAAAAAAGGGTACTTCCTTTCCTCATACCCAACTCGCGGATTCATGGTGCCTGGAAGAGGTGTGACCTACTCCACGTTCCCCACTGCCGCATCTTAAATCTCATCAAACCAAGAAAGTACATAACACTTGGACCTCTAAATCTGCATTTACTTTCTCATCATAACCAGTAGTCTATGTTACTTCCTCTTAACTATGAACCTGTTCTTTGTCTTATATCCGTTGATTACTCTATTCTCTCAGCATAAAACTTTTAGTAAGTAATTTCAATATTGTCCCCATGAACACTTTACCCTTCCTTAATTTTCTGTTGTTCCCTTCTTGCCATATGCAGCATTGCCTCTCACAGTATGGTCTACGTTTTCTATTCTAATTTAATTTCTGGGCCACCAGATATTGCTGGAAAATGTTTTTTAAGATAGTGCTAATGTTTTCATCTGAAAGTCAGTGCTGTGTAACTTCTGCCATATCCTCATTTCCACTTAACAGTCCTCTGACTCATCTTTGTGACTTTGACAGATTCTTACACTAGCTATTCCAAACTCTAGGAGCCTGGATCCCATCCTTTTACTCTCTTCAATGGACATCTTTGTTTACTAAGAAGACTGATTAATTCAGTCATTTAACAAATCAAACACCTACTATGTTGTCTTATTTGGGACACAAGAGAAGTCAGACCCTTAATACCTTTTTACTCTAATACAGCACTAAGATTGGTTTATAAATAACACTTTTATATGGAAGTCTGTTTTCAACTTGGTAGTGGGAAATCCTTGCCTCCTCTGAGGTACTTATGAGCTTCTTTCTTTCTGGCATTGAATTAAATTTAATGTTTTCCTGTCTTGCCTTGACTGCCAAATTTTATGTACAGTACAAGCAACCATGTTAACATTTGTGGTTAGCTTCCTCCTTTTTTCATTGATTATGATTTTCACCTTTGTAGTCCTTATCTTATTTTTTAAGCTATCTCAGATCGTTTTTGATAGAAGGGATGTATATTTTAACAAATACTTAGGTGCCTCAAGCCCTTTATAGAACAAATCTGGATATATATAAGCTTAATTAAGTACTTAAGTAATATTAATAATATAATAAAAACCAAAGTGATAGTGCAGTATAGTAGAAAGAGAACAGACTTTGAAATCAAACAAACATAGTAACAAAATATAGCTCTGCAGCCTATCAGCCATGCCACACTGGAATTAAATTACCTGTCTTTCTTGCACTATTACTGCACTATTATTAGGAAAGTTAACAATTACCATTTAAAATGTGTAGCAGATCATGTTGTACACAGTACGCACTTAATTGTTGATTTGCCTCACACGGATTTGTCACCTCTCTTCCCCTGGGTGATGGAGCCGCAAAAGGATTACTCAAAGCCCATCTCTTCTGAGCAGTAAGAGACCCCAAAGGGGTTAATTTCCTGGAACCCTCAAGGGAGAGGCATTCCTTCCTTTTGGAAATTAACCACGAATTGGGGTTCTCACCCTGCATTTATTCTCCAGAACAGGAAGTTACAGGAAAAGAACATAGGTGGGGATATAGTTTAACAATAGATACTGGTAACATCAGTGAAACAAGCAGAGTGACATTCCGTAATGCAGTTTGCAAAAGGTTAAGTCGATCTACCAACAAAAGCTTGATCTTAGCAAACATTCTCTTTCCCTGCAGTAGATTCCCCAGTGTTTTACATATCAGTCAAGTAACTTGTCTGTCCTTGAGCTAGCAACCTTGCTGTGTTACAATTCTATATCTTATAACAGAGACTTTAGCCTGGAGAAAGTTTCCTGTCTTTTGCAAGGTTAACATTTGTATATGTACTTTTAAGAAGTTAAGCTAACCCTGCAGCTGCAGGGCTTTGGAGGCCCTGTGAAATACATTTGCTTTATAAATATTGGTATATTCCACATTTAATAGGTATTATTTTTGTACAGGTAAAAAGGGGTCAGTCCCCAAAAGGATATACTGTTATACTGATAAAGTGCTATGGTAATTCTCAGGAATGGGGATTAGAGATGGCTTTGTTGGTAGAAAATAGCATTTGAATTGGAAACTTACGGACAGTAGGATATGAACAGGCAGAGACGAGGAAGAAGAAACTGGAATGCCTTGAGTAACAGTATGTAGGCAGTGAAGTATAAACCAATTTACTTAAAACAGAAGGTTCATAGAGGAGTATAGTATAAGTTTGGTAAGGTGAGTGGGAAAAGATTGTGGAGGATTTAAAGCCTGGTTTATAATTTAATCAGTAAACAGTAAAGAATTTTTGAAGGTTTTTGAGCAGAGTGCAATGTTTTGCATAGTGATATTAATTTTACTGTGGTGCCTAGGAAAAACTGAAGGCAGGTGAAGGCTATTGATAGGAATTAGGCAATACTAATAAGGATAGAGCACAGCAGTAACGTACTGCCAGTAAGAATGTAAATTGGTATAACCATTCTGGAAAACAATTTGGCATTAACTCTTTTTTATTAAAACCATAACAGATTATACATATTTGTGGGGTATGGTATAATGTGTGAGGATCAAATCAGGATAATTAGGATTTTCATCATTACAAAATGTAATCATTCTTTGTGTCCATTAGCCAGTTTCTCACAGACCCCCCTCCCACTCTCCCTTTTCCATCTCTAGCAGCTACAGTACTGTTCTCTCATTCTCAGAGTTCAGTGTGTTTTTGTGATTGTCCTTCCTTCCTTTCCTTCCTCTCCTTTCTTTCCTTTCTTTCTTAGCTCCTACTTATGAGTGAGGACATGCAGTATTTTTCTTTCTGTGCCTGGCTTATATCACTTCACATAATTTTCTCCAAGCTCATCTGTGTTGCTGCACATGGCAGAATTTCATTCTTTCTTATGGTTGAGTAGTATTCCATTGTTATATATATACACATTTTCCTTATCCAGTCATCCATTTATGGACATTTAGGTTGGTTCCATATCTTGGTTATGATAAATAGGGCTGCAGTAAATGTGGGAGTTCAGGTATCCTTTCAACATGATGATTTCCATTTCTTTTGGAATATACCCCGTAGAGGGATTGCTGGATGGTATGGCAGTTCTATCTGTAGTTGTTTGAGAAACCTCCATACTGTTTTCCATAATGGCTGCACTAATTTACAGTCCCACCAGCAAGTATAGGAGGGTTCCCCTTCTCCACACCCTCACCAGCATTTGTTATTCACAGTCTTTTTGATAATAGCCAGTCTAACTGGGGTGAGATGATCTCTCAGTGTTGTTTTGATTTGCATTTCCTGATGATTAGTGATGTTGAGCATTTTTTCATGTACTTGTTGGCCATCTGTTTGTCTTCCTTTGAGAAATGTCTGTTCAGCTCCTTTGCCCATTTTTTAATTGGATTGTTTTTTTGCTGTAAAGTTTTCTGAGCTCTTTGTATATTCTGGATATTAATGTACAGTTTGATAAAACATTGCTTTGCTTACTAGTGAGATTGCACATTTTTTCATGTTCATTGGTCATATGTCTGTCATATTGCTTGTGACTAATTTTCCCAGTTTTTCATTTACCTTTTGATTTTTGTTACAGTATTTTTTGAGATTTTTCATCAAGTTAAGTCTGTCAGTCTTTTCCTTTTTATTTTCTCCCTTTGGTGTCAATTTCAGAAGGGCTTTCCTATTCAAAGATGATAGATAGTCGTATTCATCTAGATTTTTAAAATACTAAAATGGTTTAATTTTTTCAAAAGTAAAATATTATATTATTCCATGATTATATATTCTGCATAAGATAATTTTGATAAAAGGAAATTTTAAAGAATAAAGTTAAATCTTCTGTAATTCCATGTCCAAAGATAGTTATTATAAAAATTTTGGTGTATGTCCTTTCAGAATTTTTTCTTTGCACATATTATTACAATTTTGGGATCATGCAAATATATTTTATAGTTCTACATCATTCATTTTTAGTGACTTCATAGTTTTCAGTTTTGTGTGAATTTACCATATATTGTAAGTCTATATATATCCTATTGTTGGGCATTTAAGTTGATGTCCAATTTTTTACTGTGGCAAAGCTACAGTGAACACCCTCAAAGATACTTCCCTCCACCTTCCTATTTGAGATAAATTTCTAGAAGTGAGATTCCTGAGCCTAAAATTAGTGTGTTTCTAATTTTGATCTTCCCACCTTATTCCTTAAATTAGAAACTTGGATTGGAGTGGTTATCTTTCTCACCTGCCACATTCAACCTCTCATCAAATGCTATTGATTCTGCCTCCAAATTATTTCTCATATACACTTCTCTGCATTTATATGTCTTCCATCTTAATCCAAGGCATAATCTTGCCTGACCTGGTCTTGTAGTGGCAATTAAAGGGTTTTTTTTTTTTTTAACCTGTCTTACCCCAATTCCAATCCATTTTTCACATAGCATCCAAAGGGATCCTTTACCAACATAAGTTTTACAGTTCTGCTGAAAATCCTTCACTGAGTTCTGTTTTTCTCAGAATAATGTGCAGACTGTTCCTTGGCCTACAAGGCCCTCCAAGATCAGGTCTCTACTCATTTTTCTAAAGTCATCTTGTACCTTCTTCCCCCTCACTGTGCTCTGACCACACTAGCCTCGTTTTTTTTTCCCCAAATTCTCCAGACTCTTTCCTGCCTTGAGGCCTTTAAACATACTGTTCTTTCTACCTGGAAAGCTCTTACCTTCACTTTTTACTTAGCCAATTTGTACCCATCAGTGAAGGTTCATCTTAAGTGTCACTGCCTCAGAGAGAGCTTCCCTGATCCACAAGGGAGCAATCCACATTACTCCCTTTATAGTACCATGTTTCTTTTCTTCATAGCTTAAACCTCGGTTTCTAATTGCTGCATTTCTTTATTTACTTGCCTCTTCCAGCAGACACGTCCCGTGAGGGCAAGAATCTTTTCAGTTCTATTCACCATTGTACACAAAGCTCCTAGCAGTTAGATGCTCAGTGAGTATTTGTGGAATTCATTATCGTCACATTACTTTTAGATAAATACATAGGACCAGTTTATACTCTTATCAGAAGTATGATTTTAGGGAGATTTTTTACATTTAAATTTACTTATGTTGGTATATATTACAAAATGACAAGGATTTAACTTGATTTTTCCTAGTTAGCCATTTGTCCTATAACCCACCATTATTCTGTAATTCAACCTTTTCCTGCTTTTTAAAAATACCATCTATATATTATAATAAATTCTTACATTTCAAGTCTCTTTCCAGACTTTTTTTTTGATCCATTGCTCTGTCAACCTAGGTACCATGACCGCAGTATTTTAATTATTTTTGCTTTATAGTATCTAATTATTTGATAGGCAAATCCCTCTTCATTGAATTAACTTGTTCCATTCTGCATTCTACTAGACGAAGTCTTTACTATCTTGCTGAGTAGTTAGCCTTCCTGTCTACAAACATACTTTATTCTATGTCATTTTCAAAATTTTGTAATTTTCTTAGTATGGGTCTGAAACATTTTAAAATTTTTATTCTTCTGGATATTTGTTATTCTGTTGAGAGGAAATTATTTTTCTAGTTATGTCTTCTTTGTGGTAACTGCTGATACAGAAAAACTATTTATTTTAGTTTTTTTTAAAATTTTGTATGTTTTAGTTCTTTTTCAGTTCTTTTGGATTTTCAAGATAGACTAACAACAAGAAGTCACAGAGCACTTTTGTTTATTCCAGCATAGAAATATCATTTCAAAGTACTGATTGTTCTAGGGTATGTTTGTAGTTTGAGATTAATCATAAATACCTTATTTGCTTGTGCTATACATAATTAGGAATATATAATTGAGTCAAAGTGGAAATGTAGTCAACAGTTTAAAGTTGCCTTAGAAAGTAAACTTTTTACAAAACAATATTGTGAACCGGGCTTGGCAGAACAATGTTAGTCTTAAATTAGTGTTTTTCTCTTTTCAGGAAGTGGTTCTGAAAGATGGAAGAATTGAAAGACTAAAGTTGGAACTTGAAAGGAAAGATGCTGAAATCCAGAAGCTGAAGAATGTGATCACTCAATGGGAGGTTTGTATCCATTTACTGTTATAAATGAAAATAATTCTATAAATTTTCACATTTTCTGTTTTTCTTATATGTAAATATGTTTAATATTCAGGTGCTAGAGGTAGTCATTCTACTATTTAGGTTTATAAACTCTTTGATTAATGGTTTAAAATTCTGAATATAACTTATTTTTATTGTTTTATAATATATATAACATATCCATTTTAAGTGTGCAATTCAGTGGCAATAAGTACCTTCACAATATTGTGTAACCATCACCACTATCTGTTTCTAGAACTTTTTCAATATCCCATACAGAAACTCTGTACCCACAAGACCCTGTTCTCATTCCACTTTGCCCCTGGGCACCTCTAATCTCTATGAATTTGCCTATTCTGGGTACCTCATATGGGTAGAATAATACAGCATTTGTTCTTTTGTGTTCCGCGTATTTCACTTAGCACCCACCTTGTTTTCAAGGTTCATCCATGTTATAGCTCCTGTTAGAATTTCATTCTTTTTTATAGCTGAATAACGTCCATTATATGTATGTACTACATTTGTTTATTGATATCAGTTCCTGCTTTTAGTTCTTTTGGGTATGTACCTAACGGTAGAATTGCTGGGTCATATGATAATTCTATGTTTAACTTTTTGAGGAGCTGCCAAGCTTTTCCATGGCAGCTGTGTCGTATCACATTCCCACCCGCAGTGAGCAAGTGTTCCAGTTTCTCCTTATCCTGGCCAATACTTGTTATGTTGTCATGCTAATTTTTAACCACAAATCTACCTATTATTCTCTTAGCTCCTCTCTTATGATTTTCAAAAACATATCTTATTCATCTCAAGTATTATTCTTTTTTCATTATTATTCAAATATTTTAACATTTATTTGTGTATGTTGGATACAGTGCGTTGTTTTAATATGTGCATATATTGCACAGAGATCACTTAGGGTAGACAGCAGAGTTCTGCTGATGTCCACCGTTTCCCCCTGTGCCTCACCTCTGGTAACTATTATTCTACTGTCTACTTCTATGAGAACCACTTTTATATTTTTTAGATTCCACATATGAGTAATATCATGTGGTATTTGTCTTTTTGTGCCTGACTTACTTCACTTAACGTGATGGTTTCCAGTTCCATCCATGTTGCTGAAAATGACAGGATATCATTTTTTTAGTAGCTGAGTACTATTCCATTGTGTGTACATACACCACAGTTTTTTTATCCATTTATCCATTGATGGACATTTAGGTTTATTCCATTTCTTGCCTATTGTGAATAGTGTTACAACAAACATGGGAGTTGAGGTGTCATTGTATTTGATATAATGATTTAATTTCCTGTGGGTATATATATACCCAGTAGTAAGACAGCTGGGTTGTAAAGCAGGTCTATTTTTAGCTCTCTGAGCAACCTCCATACTGTTTTCCACAGTATCGTAATTATCGTAATTGGCTGTACCACTTTACATTCCCACCAGCAATGTAGGAGAGTTCCTTTTTGTCTGCATCCTAACCAGCATTTGTTATTTTCTGTCTTGATAACAGCCTTTTAACTGGAGTGAGATGGTATCTCACAGAGGTTTTAATTTGCATTTCCCTGATGATTCTATTGAGAAATGTCTGTTCAGGTCCTTTGCCCACTTTTTCATTGGGATATTTGGTTTTTTGCTGTTGAATCGTTTATGTTCATTATATATTCTGGATATTAGCCCCTTGTCTGATGTGTAGTTTGCAAACACTTTCTCCCATTCTGTAGGTTGTCTGTTCGTTTTGTTGACAGTGTCCCTTGCTGTGCAGAAGCTTTTTAGTTTGATGTAGTTCCATTTATGTATTTTTGCTTTAGTTGCCAGTGCCTTTGAAGTCTCACTCAAAAAAGTACTCTTCACTCTCATTGTGTGAAGTATTTCCCTTATGTTTTCTTCCAGCAGTTTCATAGTTTGGGGTCTTAAATTTAAGTCTTTGATCCATTTTGATTTGCATCTTGTGTATGGAGCAAGATAGGTGTCTAGTTTTAATCTTCTGCTTGTGGAGATCCAGTCTTCCCAACACCATTTATTGAAGAGGCTGTCCTTTCCCCATTGTATATTTTTGGCACCTTTGTCAGAAATCAGTTGCCTGTAAGTGCATGGGTTTATTTCAGGGCTCTCTGTTCTATTCCATTGGTCAGTTTGTCTGTTTTTATGCCTGTACTATGCTGTTCGGGTTACTGTAGCTTTAAGTATACTTTGAAGTCAGGAAGTGTGAGGCCTCCACCTTTATTCTTTTTGTTCAAGATTCTTTATGCTAGATGGGGTCTTCTGTGGTTCCATACAAATTTTAGGATCATTTTTTCCATTTCTTTGAAGAATGTCATTGGTATTTTGATATGGATTGCAGTGAAAGTGTAGATTGCTTTGGGTAATATGGACATTTTGATGATGTTCCGACCCATGAACATGGGATATCTTTCCATTTATTTGTGTCTCATCAATTTTTTTCACTAATGTTTTATAGTTTTCATTGTAGAAGTCTTTCACTTCTTTTGTTAAATTTACTCCTAGGTATTTCATTTTTTGGTAGCTATTGTGAATGGGATTACTTTCTTGATTTCTTCTTTGGCTACTTCATTACTGGCATATAGGAAGGCTATTGATTTTTATGTGTTGATTTTGTGTCCTGCCACTTCACTGAATTCATTTATTAGTTCTGGTAATTTTTTGGTGCAGTCTTTAGGGTTTTCTGTGTATAGGATCATGTCATCTACAAATAGGGATAGTTTGACTTCCTCCTTTCCCATTTGTATGTCCTTTATTGATTTCTTTTGTCTTACTGAACAGGCTAGAACTTCTAGTACCATGTTGAATAAGAGTGGGGAAAGTGGGCATCCTTGTCTTGTTCCAGATCTTAGAGGAAAAGCCTCCAATTTTTGTCCATTCAGTGAGATATTAGCTGTGGGTTTGTCATATATGGCCTTTACTGTGTTGAAGTACATTCCTTCTATACCTAATTTGTTGAGTGTTTTTATCATGAAGGAGTGTTGGATTTTATGAAATGCTTTTTCTGTATCTGTTGAACTGATCATATGGTTTTTTCCCATCACTCTGTTGATGTGATTACCGTGTTTATAGATTTGCATATGCTGAACCATCTTTGCATCCCTGGGATACATCCCACTTGAGCATGGTATATGATCTTTTTAATGTGTTGCTGGATTCTGTTTGCTAGTATTTTGTTGAGGATCTTCATGTCTGTGTTCATTAGGGATATTGGTCTGTAGTTTCCTTTTTTGGTTGTGTCTTTTTCTGGTTTGGGTATGAGGGTAATGCTGGACTTGTAAAATGAGTTTGGAAGTGTTCCCTTCTCTTCAATTTTTTGGAAGAGTTTGAGAAGAACTGGTGTTAGTTCTTTAAATGTTTGGTAGAATTCTTTAATGAAGCCATCTGGTCCTGGTTCTTTGTTGGAAGACTTTTTATTATTGCTTCACTGTCATTACCCTTTATGGTCTGTTTAGGTTTTCTAGTTCATCATGATTCAACTTTGGTATGTTGTGTATGTCCAGGAATTTATCCATTTCTTCTAGATTTTCCAGTTTGTTTGCATATAGTTGTTCGCAGAAGTATTATTCTTTTTGCAGTATTATTAACTCAGTCAACACTTATTTATTGAGTGCCTATAGTGTGCCAGATACTTTCCTAGGCCCTGAATACGTAACAGTGAAAAAAGAAATCTAGTTCTATCCCTGATGATTCTTATTTTCCTTCCTTCTCTACTCATGACTTTAAGAATCATTCCTGCTAAAACCTTTTCTGATTGCACCCACCCATTTTCTTTAGCTTTTCATTTATATATTTTTTGCTTTTGTTGTACTAGACACAGGAAATTCAAAGATGAGTTACTAGGAAGCTCACAGTCTAATGGGTAAGATAAACATGTAAATAAATGAACTACAAAGTAGGATTTGTAACTGAGGTTTGACAGAGTGCTCCAGAAGCACAGAAAAAGGAATGAGTTGCTGCTATTGAAAATTGGTAAGAAGCACCCTGGGCTCCCAAGCCAGGGCAGTGGGGCACTGAGGGCCTCAGCCATGTCCCCACAACATCCGCAACCAGCCCAGCGACAACCACCGAGCTGCTGCAGGAAGTGCCCTGGATCCAGAGCCAGGGCAGTTGTGGGCCAAGGGCCTCAGCCATGCCCGCACAACATCTGCAACCAGCACAGCGACAACTACTATGCCACTTCAGGAAGCACCCCAGGCCGCCAAGCTGAGGCAGTTGGGGGCCAAGAGCCTCAGCCACACCCCCCGACATCCACAACCAGCCCAGCAATGACCACCAAGCTGCTGCTGGTAGTGCCTCGGGCTCCTGAGCTGGTGTGGTGGGTGGCCAAGGACTTCAGTCACAACCACCTGACATCCACAGCCAGCCTAGCGATAACCACCAAGCCACCACAGGAAGCACCCCAGGCTCGCCAGCCAGGGCGGTGGGAGGCCAAGGACTTCAGCCACACCCCCCTGACATCTGCATCCAGCCCAGCAATGACCACTTCACGGCTAGAAGCCCCCTGGTCTCCTGTGCCAGAATGAAGAGGATGCTACGGGCCTTAGTCACACCCCTCCTCCTCCCTCCTCTTCCTATTCTATCTTCCTCCCCTTTCCCTCTCCCTCCTCTCCCCCAACCAATCTGCAACAACATCTTAGGAGGAGGCATTGAACCGGGGGAAGCCGAATTCAGCCACAACTAGGCAAGCTTTCGCCAATGCCCTGGAGCCCCACTGGGGTCCTGAGGTATGGAGCCAGGGGAAGCTGAACCTAGCCGCAGCCAGGTAAAGAGCACACCAAAAACACCATTCCCACATGGGTAGTTCACCATAGCCACTGCAACTGCCACGGTCGCTGCAAAAGTGGCTACTTTCAATAGCAGCAGCCACAGCCACCATGCAGATGAAACACCAGACTCTCAACTGTATTGACCCAAGGAGAGGCACCAGTGGAGACCAAAAAAAAAAAAAAGAAGAGTCCTCTCTCTCCACAAATCA